AATGGCATTGATTTGTGCAGAATTATGGTATTGCATCAATATTTTTACAGCTAATCCAAAAAAAAAATTCCACTTATACATTTGTCTTAGTAATGTGGGAATGGTTCTTCAATATAATTGCTTTGGTTTCAGTTTCGATATGAGGAAGACGCAGAAAAAGCTGTGAATGAATTAAACAACCGCTGGTTCAATGGGCGACCAGTTCATGCAGAATTGTCCCCAGTCACAGACTTCCGAGAAGCCTGTTGTCGACAGTATGAAATGGGGTAAGGCAACCGTCTCAAAAGGGATTAATTCTCCTGCCTCCTTTAAGTTAATTACTATGAATTTATTATGAAAATATTGTCCATGGATCATACAATGTCATGATTATACTAACACTGTTTATTTCTGTTCAAAGAGAGTGTACCCGTGGTGGTTTCTGCAACTTCATGCACTTAAAGCCAATTTCCAGAGAACTGAGACGCGAACTCTATGGTAGAAGTCGTCGGAAGGTTAGAAGGTAAGAAAACTTTGGGAGATTGTTGTTTGTATTTGTTAAACCAAAATTTCCTAATTATTAGCTCAACTAAGCTAAAGGCTCAAGTGAGCTTTTCTGATCAAAATTTGTGCGTTGTCTGTCGTCGTCGTCGTTGTAAACTTTTCACATTTTCATCTTCTTCTCAAGAACCACTAGGCCAATTTCAACTAAACTTGCCATAAAGTATCCTTGAGTGAAGGGGATTCAAGTTTGTTCAAATGAAGGGCCACGGTATCTTCCAAGGGGAGATAATGATTAATTAGTGAAAAATTCATGGCATCTTTTAAAAATCTTCTTCTTCCTTATGTTAGGAATACATAGGAAAATATTTCAAAATCTTCATCTCCAGAACCACTGGGCTAGGAAAGATGAAACTCGTGCTGAAGCATCCTTTAGTAGGGAAGATTCATGTTTGTTCAAATCATGACCCCCTGGGTTTAGGGTGGGGCCACAATGGGGTATCAAAGTTTAACATAGGAATACATAAGACAATCTTTAAAAAATCTTCATCTCCAGAACCACTGGGCTAGGAAAGATGAAACTCGTGTAGAAGCATCCTTTGGTAGCGAAGATTCAAGTTTGTTCAAATCTGTGGGTAGGGTGGGATCAATCTCTCACCAGAGGGCGCGCTCCGCTTACACCTCTGTTGTCGTCTAAAAAGTAGCGCAGATTGTCAAATAATTATTTGTCGACAAAAATTGTATAAACATTGATTGTTTTGTATGATTTCTCAATGATGTTACGTGTTTTAAGCTCTCTGGTAATAAAATATTTCCTGACTTGTCTCCTTGGTTTCAAAATGAAAATATGTGTTAAAATTCAGAACAAAATAGTGCCGTATATATTGAAGCTATTTTAATATATATCCAAATTTTGAAAGAAAAAAAGAAGTGCTAAAGATTGATATTTCTAATTTCATTTAAAACAAGATGTGTTTGTGAAACACTATGCGCCCGGCGGCAACAAAGTTAAAAAAATCTATTTTTAGCATATTGGTCACAGTCAAGGTCATAAGGTCATTGACCGTGGTGTCATTTGAAAGAACTTAATCAGTGGAATATGCATCCAAACATGAAGTCCCTATCTCCTATGGTTCAAAAGTTATGGCCAAAAGTGTAAAAAGCTATTTTTAGCATATAGGTCACAGTCAAGGTCACAAGGTCATTGACCATGGTGTCATTTGAAAGAACTTAATCAGTGGAGTATGCATCCCAAATATGAAGTTCCTATCTCCTATGGTTCAAAAGTTATGGCAAAAAGTGTAAAAAGCTATTTTTAGCATATAGGTCACAGTCAAGGTCACAAGATCATTGACCTTGTGGTCAACTGAAAGGACTTTATTAGTGGAGTATGCATACCAAATATGAAGTCCCTATCTCCTATGGTTAAAAAGTTATGACAAACAGTGGAAAAAGCTATTTTTAGCATATAGGTCACAGTCAAGGTCACAAGGTCATTGACCTTGATGTCATTTGAAAGGACTTTATTAGTGGAGTATGCATACCAAATATGAAGTCTCTATCTCTTATTGTTCAAAAGTTATGGCCAAGGTTAAAGTTGACAACAGACAAACAGACAGGACAAAAACAATATACGCCCTGGATCTATCGATCCGGGCGCATAAAAATTACCAAGTCGGTGGAAATCTATAATTTATTTTCGTTTTACAAGATTCTTGTAATTTAGACGATAACAGAGGTGTTGGAGCGGAGCGTAAAACGCCCTCTGGTGAGAGATTGAGGGTGGGATATCAAAGTTTAACATAGGAATACATAGGAAAAATCTTTTAAAAAATTTCTTCTCAAGAACCACTGGGCCAGGAAAAATGAAACTCTTGTAATATATTCAATCTTTTCAATACTGAACTGATTTTTGCTTTTGCCTAGCCAGTTGCTCAGGTGAGCGATGGGGCCCCTGGACCTCTTGTATTTTATAAATATTCTTATTTTTTACCGCTAATATATTAAAATTTATGTACAGATCACGTTCACGGTCACCACCTACCAGACGTAGCAGGAGCCGCAGTAGAGAGCGTCGGCGGTCAAGGTCACGAGAACGAAGGTCAAGGTCACGTAGTAGAGAGAGGAGGAGGTCCAGAGAAAGGGATGGAAGACATGGCAGATACTGAGTGTCTATTGTGTCTTCATCTTCTGATGTATTTTTTGATGAACTTTTTATAAACATCTTATAAACCGAACAGTTTATCATTTAATTCATTTTGTGTATAGCATTATTGAACTGATTCATTCAAACGCAAGAGTTTTTTGTGTAATTTTAGCTTACCTATAAGTTCTTGGCAAAAGCTTCTGCAAAATGCTGTATTTGTAGAATCATTGCAACAGGTTGAATATGTATGTGTTCAATTTGTAAGAAATAATAAATCCTTCCAGATCTTATGATTTGTAATTTGTTTGAAGCATGAATACTACTTAGCATGTCTAAGTACTATGTGGAATCACTCAACATATTCTAAATACGAGGGGCATTTCAAAAGTTCTGGCGACTGTTTAATAAAAAATTAACCTTTTTTCGGAAAATATTGAGTTTGATATCATTGGAAAGATCAGAAAAATATACACATATTACGACGTCACTTTATAATTTTTATGACGTAATAACTCGCAAAATGACGTCAAAATATAGACTGTTTAGCATACTGATCATAAAAATGACGTTATAAAAGACACAATTTGATCAAATTAAAATTTTCAAGACAAATTTTGCTCATTACTCGGACGCAAGCTAACGGAAGCAAATGTAAGTTGGTGGAATGTTTATATAGACTACAATCTATCATATGTTTTTCTATTTCAGAGATCTTTTTGTTCTGAATGGTTTTAGTGAGTGTCAAACTTAGCATGTTTTTGTCGAATCTCGCTCAAACTATTGCGTACAAAAGACCTAACTGTGAGAAAAAGACAAAGTTGACAATCAAAGAAAAATAGACGATCGTGTTACAAAATTTGATGGCATAAATTCGTCAGGTGTTTTAACCAGATTTGTGGGATCGATGAAGGCTCAAGAGAAGTTAAGTTTCGTGTGCTTTATATTTTCTCGTAAAATCCAAAATGGCGGCAGCGCAGTTGTAGCCCCACTGTACCTCCACACATTCTCAAATTTTAATGCATGGAAAATAAATAAGATTTAACATGTCTGTGTAACTTATATTCATTTTTTGGATTCAAAAATCAAAAGCAGCAGTGAGTTTTGGGGCACCAAAGTTGAATTGATATGAAAAAATACGCACAGAATCAAGTCGGGGGCAAGATTTAGTACATTTTATATGTAAACGGAAAGAGTCCTATTACTCAAAATATATTGGATGAAAACTGCATTAATATTCTTCAGTTTAATACTGTACATGTTTTATTTCAAACAATGGAGAGCTACATAAAAGATAGAAAATCTAGCCGTATCATGTAAATAAAAATCTTAAATGAATGTCGATGACAGCATAACTGGACATATACCGTGCTCGTAAATAAACCATACAATGAATAATGGAATTGCTAAAAAACAGTATCATAGACATACTCTACTTCTTTTCATATTTAAATTTTCTTTGAAATATTTTTTCAAATAAGCCCTTGGCAGCACTTTTACGATCGTCTCATACAGATAGAAAACGCAACTTTTCAGTATCCTAAACATTCTATATTCTGACGTCACTTTCAGAGTTATTCATCATTAAAAATTATAAAGTGACATCAAAATATGTGTATATTTTTCTGATCTTTCCAATGATATCAAACTCATTAATTTCCATACAACGGTTAATTTTTTATCAAACAGTTGCCAGAACTTTTGAAATGTCCCTCGTATGTTCACATCGCTAAAAATTGCTATTGGCATACCTTGTTAAAGATGTAGGTATCAATCTCATCAACTCTGTAAAAAAATTCCAATGGTGAACACAGCGAAAACATGGACCCCTGGAAACCAGGGTCATATTTTACAAGAGAACTTAATGACTAAGACTGAATTTCAATTTCGGGGATAACTTTTATTTGCGTAATTTGAAAATTTGTTAGAATTTTTTAAAAATAGAAATATATTTTTGTGCAAACAATATTTACCTGAAACATCAATTTTGCAAAATTTTACAATCGGCTTGAATTTGTGGTTTTCATAAGTTCTTTTGTAAAATGTGCCCAGTTGGTTGAGGTCCCTATAGGAATAGTAAGCACACCCTGTCCATGTGTCACTCTGAGCCTTATGAACAGAGAGATGGAGTAATCCGTAGTCAAGTGTAGAAACAATGACCTATCTGTTGGCATGAAAGGGGCAAATTGCAACCCAAACAATAGGATATACACCAGTATATGCTAACAAGCTCATTAAAATGACATAGAATTGAAAGTGATTATAACACAACTTATGATAAGTAAAAGTCGTGATCACCTGTGGGTATCAAACAATGAGTTGGATTTTGGAACCACTTCATTTTGCACAATCTAACATTGAAGAAATAACAAAAAGATCATGTGACATGTCATTTATTATCTTTTACTCGTAGTATGTACATGCTATAGTCCAGTCAATTTACCATTCAGCTTCAAAGTAATTACAACGGAATATTTTTGTCAAGCAAAAACTCTTTTGAATGCAGAAGTACATATGTTGAAAATCTAACAAATGGGAAAGCTTTATTTTCTGACTACATAAATTAGATTTCTTTAGGAAAATCATAAGTGTTAAAGCAAACATATATGTGGGAACAGAGGGATGATAAACCTTAGTAACTCAAAAGGCAAAATGTTGATGTTACTGTTCCTGATATGCAAGCAAACTTCTAACTCTGCAGAGCAAACCAAGATTAAACATTGTATCCAAAATTTCTTCTCGATCTTTTCTAACCAAAAAGTTGTAAGGCTTTGAGTAATGAATGTTACTTCTCTTCTCTTCCGCCTTTGTACCCTTTAACAAGCATTTATAATGCCCTTTGGCCCATTCCAAACGTGTGAAAATGATCTGCAATATAGATATAACCATATTATATTTCTTTTATAGTGGTAATGTAAAAAAATATTTTAAATGGACTGAATTCTATATGTTTCATACACTGGCAGCATAAGCACTGTTTATTTGCTGGTTAAAAATTATTTTTAGATACAATTTCAATTACAATAGTGAAAAACTGTAAAAATTTTTTACATTTCCAACAGTGAAATATGGTAATTTATATAAATAAAAGTGATGTTTTCACAGTTATTTTCACAGTGTGAAAATAACAAATGTGATCTACAAAGTGTGAGGATAAAAATTCACAGGAAAAACATCTCTCTATTTTCCTTCCTTTCACAAAAAGTGCTAAAGTACTAACCATGGTCTTAATACAAATTATTCCTAAATTTGTAGACCTTAAAACAGACTTCATAGATTCCACTAAAAGCTCTCCCCCATGCTGTCCTAATAACCTCTCTACAGATTGCCCTGAAAACTTCAAGTTTCTGATATTAAAATCAGTGGTAGTTTTTTCATCATCTGCAAGCGACCATGTCTTCAACTGAAATTATATTTTTAGTGTGCTTACTTTCAAAATATTGATGACAACATAGCTCTACTGATTTGTACTAAAAAGTAAGGAAAATTAAGAGGCCCATGGGTTTTATAGCTCACCTGAGTATCACATAACTTTCAACTGAATAAAAAACTTAATTATTTTAAGGAAGAAAATACATTTACTTCTCAGAAACCTTGAATTACTCTATGGTCATGAAATACAAGGGTCACTTGAAATTTTCATTTAATAATTCTGTACAATTATCATGTCATCAATGATATCATGAATAGAATTTCAGATTTCTTCACATAATCAGCCCATGTGTCTTTATGTACTTGGTGCAATTTAATTATGCATACTTTTAAATATAATCTCTGATATGAGCAGTTATAAACTGCAAATTGATTCTTGAAGAAGATTTTTTAAAAGAATTTTTCCTTTATATTTCTATGTAAAACTCTGATCGCCCATTGTGGCCCCAACTTACCCCCAAGGGTCCATCTTCCCAAGTCAAGAGTTTCTGATCCGCTCCGCGGATGCCAGGGATCATGATTTGAACAAATTTGAATCTACATTACATAATTAAGCTTTCACATAAGTTTCAACACTTCTGGTCCAGTGGTTTCTTAGAAGAAAATTTTTTTCCCTATATATTCCTATGTACAAATCTGATCGCCCATTGTGGCCCCATCCTACCCCTGGGGGTCATGATTTGAACAAAACATGAATCTACATTAGGTAATTATGAAGCTTTCACTTAAGATTCCATTCTTCTGGTCCAGTTATTCTTGAGAAGAAAATTTTATAGATTTTTTCCAATATATTCCTATGTAAAATTTGACTGCCCATTGTGGCCCAACCCTACCCCCGGGGGTCATGATTTGAACAAATATGAATCTACATTAGGTGATGATATAAATAATTCAAATAAGTTTCAACTCTTCTGGTCCAATGGTTCTGGAGAAGATTTTTAAAGATTTTATCCTATATAATCCTATGTAAAACTTTGAGCACCCACTGTGGCCTCACCCTACCCCCAGGGGTCAAGATTTGAACAAAATTGAATCTACATTTGGTAATAAAGCATTCAAATAAGTTTCAACTCTACTGGTGCAGTGGTTCTTGAGAAGAAGATTTTTAAAGATTTTTTTCCTCTCTACCTTTAGGAGCTTTAGCTTTAACGAAGCTTACTGAAAAACCTTAGGGGCAATAACTGTCATAAGGGCTCGATAAAATCCTTTCGCAGTGAATAGATTGGAAAATCACTTTAGTGAATAGAAGACATTAGTTAAAGTTATGTGTCGCTGCGACTCACCGTTTTGGAGGAGTATAGTGATAACAAGGTTTATCGTGCAAGGGGCAATAACTTACATATCTAAAATGCTGTCAAATTTAAAGTCTCTAAATTTGTGGTTCAAAAGTTATTGAAAAGGTTGAATTTTATAACAGAATGAGAGAAGGTCAAACAGGACAAAAACAATATGCCCCTGATGTTCCATCTCCAGGCATAAAAACAGACTTGAAAAGTTCTTGAAATTGTTGCATTTTTAATACAAATTGAACATTTCTGAATGTGCTACAGTATATAGATTTATACATTAAAGTTGCTTAGCTATGAGCTTGATTTAGTATATGTGTTCTTCTGTAGAATGCGCTAAATAGAATACACAGCTAAAAGTAATACATGTACGCTTACAGTATACATATTCAAAATTTTAATCATTAACAGATACCACTTTGAACTTTCATACCAACCTCTCTAGTATCTACTGTCACAAGAGATACTGTTTTTTCTGATTCATCAAAAAAATCTCCCTGCAAGATGTATCTTAGATCTGGAACACTAGTAGTTTCTTTTCCACAAAGCCTCATTTGCACTTTTTGCAAAGCATCTCCTGTCCTGCAAAAATTGACTAAACTCACTTACTTCATTACAAAAAAGAGGCAGTAAATCTTTAATATGAATTTTTGAAAAAACAAGAGGCCCATCAGGCCATGGGCCACATCGCTCAACTGAGCACTGTGGCTAGGAAAAAGAAGAAATTGATTTATTATTGAAAAGTTTAAATGCAGAGGTAGTCCCATGACCAATCATGGCTTTGCTATTCTTGAAAAGAAGATTTTTAAAGAATTTTCCTATATATATTTCTATGTAAAACTTTGATCAGCCATTTTTGCCCAGCCCTTCCCCCGGGGGTCATGATTTGAACAAACATGAATCTACACAACCTGAGGATGCTTCCATATAAATATGACCAATTATGGCTTTGCAATTTTTGGGAAAAAGATTTTTTAAAAAAATTCCTATGTAAAACTTTGGTTGGCCATTTTGGCCCAGCCCTACCCACAGGGGTCATGATTTGTACAAATTTGAATCTACACTACCTGAGGATGCTTCCAAATAAATATGACCAGTTATGGCTTTGCTATTCTTGAGAAGAAGATTTTTAAAGAATTTTCCTCTATATTTCTATGTAAAACTTTGGTCGGCCATTATTTGTGGCCCCGCCCTATCCCTGGGGGTCATGATTTGAACAAACTTTAATCTACACTACCTGAGGATACTTCCATATAAATATAATCAATCATGGCTTTGCTATTCTTGAGAAGAAGATTTTTAAAGAATTGTCCTATATATTCTACGTAAAATATATATATGATTTGAACAAACTTTCATCTACACTACCTGAGGATGCTTCCATATATATATGATCAATTATTGCTTTGCTATTCTTGAGAAGAAGATTTTTAAAGAATTTTCCTATATATTTCCATGTAAAACTTTTGGTCGGCCATTGTGGCCCCGCCCTACCCATGGGGGGTCATGACTTGAACAAACTTTATTCTACACTACCTGAGGATGCTTCCATATAAATATGATCAATTATGGCTTTGCTATTCTTGAGAAGAAGATTTTTAAAAGAATTTTCCTATATATTTCTATGTAAAACTTTGGCCGGTCATTGTGGCCCTGCCCTACCCCCAGGGGTCATGATTTGTACAAACTTGAATCTACACTACCTGGGGATACTTCCATATAAATATGATCAATTATGGATTTGCTATTCTTGAGAAGAAGATTTTTAAAGAATTTTCCTACATATTTCTATGTAAAACTTTGGTTAACAATTGTGGCCTCGCCCTACCCCTGGGGTTTATGATTTGCACAAACTTGAATCTACACTACCTGAGGATGCTTCCATACAAATATGAACAATTAGGGCTTTGCTATTCTTGAGAAGAAGATTTTTAAAGAATTTTCCTATATATTTCTATGTAAAACTTTGGTCGGCCATTGTGGCCCCGCCCTACCCCCGGGGGTCATGATTTGAACAAACTTGAATCTACAATACCTGAGGATGTTTCCCCATAAGTTTCATCTTTCCTGGCGCAGTGGTTCTTGAGAAGAAGATTTTTAAAACATACCACCAAATTTTCATTAATTCCCAATTATCTCCCCTTGAATGAGAGCATGGCCCTTCATTTGAACAAAAATGAATCCCCTTCACCCAAGGATGCTTTGTGGCAAGTTTGATTGAAATTGGCCCAGCGGTTCTTGAGAAGAAGTCGAAAATGTGAAGAGTTTACAGACGGACGACGGACAAAATGTGATCAGAAAAGCTCACTTGAGCTTTCAGCTCAGGTGAGCTAAAAAACTTGATATTAATGGGCTTGAAAATAATGGTATAACATTTCATAACTAGAGGCCCATGGGCCACATCGCTCACCTGAGTAACTTTTGTGATGCAGTTCTTTACCAGATTTCCCCTCTTCTTATATCTATTGTGGCCCCGTAACCCCCTCCCCACTACCCCCGTCTTGATTTTAATAATTTAGAATCTACACTACCCAAGGATGCCTCCACCTAAGTTTCAGCTTTCCTGGCCCAATGGTTCTTGAGAAGAAAATTTTTCCTGTATATTTCTATATAAAAATTGGATTTCCTATTGTGGCCCTGCCCTACCCCCAGGGGTCATGATTTTAACAATTTAGAATCTACACTACCCCAGGATGATTTCACGTATGTTTCAGTTATCTTCGCCCACTGGTTCTTGATTTTTAAAGATTATTCCTATGTATTTCTATGTAAAATTTGGATTTCCTTTTGTGGCCCTGCCTTACCCCCGAGGGTCATGATTTTTACAATTTAGATTCTTCACTTCCCCAGGATGCTTCCACATTAATTTCAGCTTTTCTGGCCCAGTGGTTCTTGAGAAGAAGATTTTTAAAGATTTTTCCTATATATTTCTATGTAAAACTTGAATTTCTTATTGTGGCCCCGCCCTACCCCCGGGGGTCATGATTTTTATAATTTAGATTCTTCACTACCCCAGAATGCTTCCACATTAATATCAGCTTTTCTCACCCACTGGTAATTGAGAAGAAGATTTTTAAACATTTTTTTCTATACATTTCTATGTAAAACTTGGATTTCCTACTGTGGCCCCTCCCTACCCCCGGGGGTCATGATTTTAACAATTTAGAATGTACACTATCCCTGGATGCTTCTTCATAAGTTTCAGCTTTTCTGGCCCAGTGGTTCTTGAGAAGAAGATTTTTAAACATTTTTCCTATATATTTCTATGTAAAACTTGGATTTCCTATTGTGGCCCCGCCCTACCCCCGGGGGTCACGATTTTTATTATTTAGAATCTACACTACCTCAGGATGCTTTCACATAAGTTTCAGCTTTTCTGGCCCAGTGGTTCTTGAGAAGAAGATTTTTTAATGATCCCACCCTATTTTTGTCTTTTCTTGATTATCTCCCCTTGGAAGGGGACCTGGCACTTTATTTTAACAATTTAAACTCCCCATCCCCCAAGGATGCTTTGTACCAAGTTTGGTTAAAATTGGCCCTGTGGTTCTTGAGAAGAAGTTGAAAATGTGAAAAGTTTACAGACGGACGGACGGACAGACGGACAGACTACGGACAAAATGTGATCAGAAAAGCTCACTTGAGCCTTCGGCTCAGGTGAGCTAAAAACCATAAATAGTGAATATATTTATCAAGATGTAGAAAGAATTATACTCACCGTCAATAGAAACGCAATTTGAGGAAATATAGGCATCACATCCGGTAAAGAAAGAAGGATTTTTTCCCGGCCCTTTTGTACAATAATTATGATTAACAGTTTCAAAACCTTGGAAACCCCAAATATTGTTAAAATTTCATTAAAAATGGAAAATTTTGAATTCTGTGAAGAGGGCTAAAAAGCAACTTCCGGTTATGGAAAGAAATCCATTCAACTGTTAAATAACTGATTTGGCAAAGTAAAAGATATCCTAACTGTTTTGGTACATAGTTATGACCTGTATATAATTTTCATCCTAAAATTAGGGTGTTGCGTTTCTATTGACGGTGAGTATAGTTGTGGTAATTGATTTATTTGTGAAATGTTTGATGGAAATTTCCAGATTATCACAGCACTGAACTTGAAGTACAATAAAAAATGTATTGAAAATAAAGTTGCTTACATGTATAGAAAAAAAATTGAATAACGAATATGTTATTGTTCAAGTAAAGCAGCAGAACACATGCATACATTCCAAGTTAATTTTCACATTTACTAAAGCTGTTCAAATTGGTGCTCTGATCGATAAAATTTTGGGTTTTTTTTACCAATACACTGTAGTACTAGTATGTATAACACAAAAGTGAAATAAAATGGAAGGTGTGAAAAACAAATTTATACAAAACAAACAAACAAAGCAAAACACCCCCCCCAAAAAAAGAAAACAAAAACCAAATGGGGAATATATCTACTTCTGTTCCTACAGTCACTGAAGGATATGAACGAGGACAGTTTATTTTATTTCTTCTTGCTATATGTATACATTGTAAGACTTTCATGAACTCTCATGCAGTACAAATTACTACGATATATTGGAATTGCTCTGTCACCAATGGCAAAAACTCAATTATCTGCACTTGTTTGGGATTTCAACTATTTGAATAAATAACTATTGTGCAAACCTGTACTCAGATAACAGGTAATTACAGATAAATTATTTGCACTGGTTGAGGCCAAGCTTAAAAAATTCTTTGTTTTGCAGTTGCCGACCTATAATTTTTTGAGTGGGTAGGTAGGTAGGCAGGCATTCTTTTTTTTTTGATTAAGTTTTTTTGGATATTTGTTAGATAACACATAATAGAGCTTTCATAGACCTACTTAACAAGAAAAATCTTCACTCTTGTATAAACCACAGATTGATAAAAACTAAAATTAGTTTTAATATAATGAAAATTTTAAAAAAATGTATTAAAAATTGGCCAAAAAAAGTTTCGTTCGGATGCATTTTCAATGGGTCGGTAGGCAACTGCAAACAAATAAATTTATATTTTAGACCTGAGAAAGATTTTTTGTTCAGGGCAAAACTACAGGTAAAAATTCAGGTAAAAATATAGGTCATAAGTAAATTCACTCATCACCACTTTCAGAGGACTCTGACTGATCTAAAGCTGCTTTATAATGTTTTTTGGTATGAAAATATTCAAAACAATCTAACACACACAGTGCTACATCACATCGTTAACAAAAGAAAGATGTCTGGATAAAATGTGATCAGAAAAGCTCACTTGAACTTTGAGCTCAGGTGAGCTGAAAAGTAACAAGAGACCCATGGGTCATATCGCTCACCTGAGAAGCTTTGACCATTCCGTTCTTTACCAGATTTCCCCCTTGTAATACATATTAAGACCCCACCCTACTCAACTGATCATAATTTAGACAACTTGAAATCTACACTACCATAGGATGCTTTGATTCCCCATTGTGGCCCCGCCCTATCCCCGGGGGTCATGATTTTAACAATTTAGAATCTACACTACCCCAGGATGCTTCCACATAAGTTTCAGCTTTTCTGGCCCAGTGGTTCTTGAGAAGAAGATTTTTTACTGACCCCACCCTATTTTTGTCTTTTCTTGATTATCTCCCCTTGCTAGGAGACTTGGCTCTTTATCTTAACAACTTAAATTCCCCTTTACCCAAGGATGCTTTGTACCAAGTTTGGTCAAAATTGGCCCAGTGGTTCTTGAGAAGTCGAAAATGTGAAAAGTTTACAGACGGACAGACAGACAGCTAGACAGGCGGATGGACGGACAACAGACAAAATGTGATCAGAAAAGCTCACTTGAGCCTTTGGCTCAGGGGTGAGCTAATAAAAACTGACTACTGCGTCTGCTTTTACTTTGGGAATACATAATTATGATTGTTAGTCAGTGAATCTTATTCAAACAATGTAGTGATCCGATCAATAACATTTTTTGAAGAAATCAAGACTATGTATCGTATGAAGAAATCAAGATTAATATGTATCATATGAACTTGCTGAAAGCAGAAGGGCAGGCATAAAATAAACTCACCTAGGGCTCATCAGGAATATCTTGCTGAAGAATGTTAGAAGCTGACGGAATTCCCCTTCCACTCCATTTCTTCTTGAAGAATTTAATTCTTTTATTAGGTCAGAATAATACTGAATATATTCTGAAATCCCAGTAAACCAAATGCTATAAAGGTCCCTATAAAATTAAAAATTATTTAACATGGTTACATAAATACAGTTTAAAATGCAAGATTCAATTTCCTTGTGTTAAAAAGAAATTGAAGATATATATTAGTTTTCTACTTGTCTATATTTCTCAGGCCTGTCCTCATCTATTCAAATAGTGCCGCATGTCTAATTTTATTGCCTTTTTAATAAAATTTTTTTTTTAATGCAGCATTATTTTATTAAGGAAAAAAAATTAGTTGGGCTTCTCATTTTAGAATTTTTAATGTTTAGTCTTTGAAACATTTGTAAGGAAGATCAATACAATGTCAATCATTTGTAGTACCTAGATATAAATTACAAGTGGTCAAGATGGCGGGAAATGTTTCTGAGCTGGTTGTCTGTATAAGTATACAGACGTGTTCTGAAGTTGTTCTTTCCTGAAATTTCAGAGGAAGGTTTTCAGATGGGTATATCATATCGGAACTTGACTCGCGTATATGTTTGCCATATTTTACTGAGTATTTAAAGTAATTTGTTAAAAAATAAAGCCTCCCACATCATTTTTATTTACAGTAAAAAAGGAAAATAAAGTGCACCACCATGTTGTATAAGCCCAATCAAATATTGTTCAATTTAAAAAAAAAACAAACAAACAAATTAGAGTGCAAGGAAGAAAATCGTGTCATCCTTTGTACTAGGGATGGGTATCGCAAAAATTTCGTATCGCGATATATCACAATTTTTTCCCACAATATCACAATAATATCATGATATTTTTAAAAGCAGTTTTTACAATGATTTTATATTTTTCTAAAAAATATGCTAGAAAAACAAAATTTTACTTTCTCGAAATATTTATGTACATAGAATCAATTATGTTTGGACGGTAAGATGCCGTTCTTTTCACTTTTCACAACATTTTTTTATACTTTCTGTAATTGTAATTTGAAAGATTGAACAAATAAATGAATGATTTCTGGACTTTATAACATGTACCTAAAGACCGGTATTTAGGTCTCTGTATCACGATACGTATCACACAACACGATAAAATCGCACATCCCTACTTTGTACAGTGATTTTTACATTCCTAATGTTTGATATGTATTTCATATCATGTAGTAATTAATTAGAACAAATAATACTTTATATATATCTCATTGGTAAAAATTTTCATGTTTATTCATAACTGAAATGTTGCTCTGATGCAACCCCATACGGGTTGTTGTTAAATGTTTGAGAAGCCGATTCGGAATATCTAATTTTAATTAGATTGACCATTGGTCTATTTGAAACTTCATTCCCCATGACTTATTTACTTAAAAACATGCTGACAATAAACAAATAAGGGAGTTATAATTCACATGCCATTGACAAATCCTGCAGCACTTCATATGAATGATAGGGAAGGTAAATTTTTCTTTATAAATCTAAGGCCAACATTTTTTTATATGCTGTTTTACGGGACCGCCGACCCTAATTTGGGCTAAAATGAAATACAAGAGGCCCATGGGCCACATCGCTCACCTGAGAATCCTTGACCATTCTGTTTTTTACCAGACTTCCCCCTTGTAATACATAATGCATCCCCACTCTACCCAACTGATCATAATTAAGATATTTTGAAATCTACACTACCAAAGGATCCTTTCATGTGCACATAAGTTTCAGCTTTTCGGAGGAGTCACGTGACAATTGACCATGGCGGTCATGCTTTGCTAGTGGGAAGAAAAAATAGATCAAAATCGGAGTTAAAAGTGTCAAAGTGCCGAAAAAAGGGTTATAACAGGCCGGTTAGTTAGATTTGAGAACAAAGACCGTTTACTAAAACAGCAGAGAAAAAAGAAAGATGAAGGGGTTATTCTACCTTTCTATATCACACCCCAGTCACCAGTTCAAGTTAAGGTTTCGTCAAAGGTCAACATGTCTAAAAAATCATTTTGACAATAGCTCCAAAACTATGCGTGGTATATAGTCAAAACGTTTACAGTTTTTAAATATATAACTGATTAATAGATAGAAAGTATTACTGGATAACAAATACTTTTTAAAAGATTTTTTGAGAAAAATTGTATCAGAAAAAATGTGCATATTTAAAAAAAAATGCACCTGCTTAATTCTGTCCTTTTTGTGAAAACCAACATTGTAGAAATAATATATGTTCATCACTGAAGGGCAAGTTGAGCGTGAATGGTCTCTGAAAGCCTGTTATTGAAAGCATGACGTGTATAAAGACAAGACCCCTATAGAATCCGCCATTTGCAGTGTACTTTCACTTTCAAGTCTTAACATTTGGACAAAATAAACAGGGAAAACAACTTTCCACAGGCTATCCAAGTCCAACTTGCTTTTCATTGATAAACATATTTTGTTTCTGCAATGATGGTTTTCACTAAAAGCACGGAATTAATCAGGTGTATTTTTTTGAAAATATATGCATTTTTGAGAAGACTTTTTCTCAATTAATATTATTCCAAGTATTTTTTTTATCAATTGACACTTTCTATCTGTTAATCAATAAAAAATTTATAAACTGTAAAAGTTTTAACTTTATACCTTACATAGTTTTGGGGCTATTGTAAAATCAAATTTTTGGACATGTTGACCTTTGACGAAACCTTAATGAAACTCGCAGAAAACTGGTTGAACTCAACAGCAAATATTGGAGCGAAAATATCAAAACGAGAGTTGTGGGGGACAAATTGGTTTTCCCGAATGGGTCTGTTTACAGAGATAAAGTGAAGACACCAAACGCCGAGGAAATTCTACAACTTGACCAGAAAGAACAACAGAAACTAGAGGAAATTGAAGTTAAACGCTCTAACACTCACACAGAATCAGGAAACCAAATTAGCGCTGCTGCAGTTGAGGTAGAGACTTATGCAAAAGTTCGGAACTTTTATAAGAAAATTTCCATGGATCCAGTTTATGGGCGTGCAAATCACAATATACTGGTTTACCGTTTTAAAGACAATTCTGGGACTATACATGACGGATACTGTGACGACGGCGAATTTGGAGCTGGAAGGAAAATGCTAAAAATTCTGCAAAATGAAAACTTTACAAATGTATCCGTTGTGATATCGCGCATGATGGGAAAACATCTTGGTCCGAAACGCTTCGACATAATGGAGAAAGCGTTGTTTGACGCCCTCAAAGAACTTCGATAGGCTAAAAGTGTCGTGCAACATTTTTCTTTTCTTGAACATTTTGTGGTATAACTAGTTTTTTTTTGCTTTTTTCTTTTTCCCGGATTGAATAGCTCTGTTCTGAACAGGTTTCTTTTTTTATAGTGTATATTCCGGAAAAAAGAAAATTATGTTTGTTTTTGATTTTTCAATTACCGACCAAAGAAGTATGTCCGGTATTACATCGGCACAGAATTTGAGGTAAACAAAATAAAAATGAACACTCCGACTATTGATCTATTAAACTCTTTCAACTATGCATTTGTAATTTATGCAAAGAGTTTGTTTCGTACATGTATATACCTTTTTCTTTTGTTTATATATTCTTTTTTCAGTTTTGTTTACATTTTTGAGTGAGTGTGAAAGTGTGTCTGTGAGAGAATACAACAGTCATGTAGTCAAAAATCTCGTAAATGGATGTATGGATGGGTGTGTGAGTGCTAAATATCCATTGTAATTTTGCTGTTATTTTAATTTGATTCTGTTTGTAATACAATGGATAATAAAAAAAAAATTAAAAAAAAAAGTTTCAGCTTTTCTGGCCAAGTGGCTCTTGAGAAGAAGATTTTCAAAGATTTTCCCTATATATTTCGATGTAAAACTTTGATTCCCAATTGTGGCCCCACCCTTCCCCCGGGGGTCATGCATGATTTGATTAATTTAGAATCTACACTACCCCAGCATGCTTCCACATAAGTTTCAGCTTTTCTGGCCCAGTGGCTCTTGAGAAGAAGATTTTTCCTATATATTTCTATGTAAAACTTTGATTCCCCATTGTGGCCCCGCCCTTCCCCCGGGGGTCATGATTTTAACAATTTAGAATCTACACTATACCAGGATGCTTCCACATAAGTTTCAGCTTTTCTGGCCCAGTAGTTCTTGAGAAGAAGATTTTTTAATGACCCCACCCTATTTTTGTCTTTTCTTGATTATCTCCCCTTGTGAGAGGACTTGGCCCTTTATTTTAACAATTTATATTCCCCTTTACCCAAGGATGCTTTGTACCAAGTTTGGTCAAAATTGGTCCAGTGGTTCTTGAGAAGAAGTCGAAAATGTGAAAAGTTTAAAGACGGACAGACAGACAGACGGACAGACAGACAGCTAGACGGACAGACGGACGGCGGACAAAATGTGATCAGAAAAGCTCACTTGAGCCTTCGGCTCAGGTGAGCTAAAAAATAAAAGTCTCTTCTTCAAGTTTTACTTTTGTTTCTCCCACCGATAGCTTATTTATAGTCACTGAAAAAATAAAAGAAACGTCAACAAAATTTTTACAAGCCTTTCAAAACGTGAACTGTCATTGGCTAAGGTAAATATATCCATCCAATCACAGTTGACAAAACTAATGAGCATGAATGTGAAGCGTAACAGTTAGCGGCAAAATGTCAGAATCGTATTGTTTAATATATTTTTAAAAAGTGTTTTGTCATTTATCAGAAAAAAGTATTAATTTCAGATTTACTTTTAATGAAAGATAGAATAAATTAGACGAAAAATTAATCTTGATCAAATGTTATGCGGAGGGCCACGTGGAAATTGAGGTTCTGTCAACCCCTTGTTTTGAGAGGTTTTAAGCAGTCTTCACAACAATTTTTTTTCAGCACATGCCCTTTGGGCATGTATACCTATCATTTTAACCCAGCCCATTCAAATTTGTACATGCCCAACTCTAAATTCTTTGAAATACCAGTTATAATTGTGCAACAAACAAAAATTAAGGTTTTTATGTTATAAACTTTAAAGACATGTTTCTGATTTTTAAATTCTCTCATTCTCAAGCTCTCTCTCAATCTCTCAATCTTAAGTTCAAATTGTTTTCAGAGTCGTAAATCAACCATGG